TAAGGGTGACTTTTATCATGGTCTCCACGACCTTTTGAACAAGGCCGAAAAGTCGGATATCATGGTCCTTGCCGGAGATCTCAATGCACGACTAGTTCGCCTGCTTCCGTGCGGACGTCATATTGGTGGCAGTCACGCGCTTGATGAAAGCCCTTCTGACAACGGTGATAGACTTCTTCCGTTATGCGAAGACCACCGTCTGTTTCTCGCAAGTACGAACTTTAGGCATACCAGAAGACGCACAGCCACCTGGCGTCCTTCACCAACGCTAGCGAGGCCACAAATAGATCACATTGCAATCAGCTTTAGATGGCGAGGCATCTTCCGGGATTGTAGATCGATTTGGTCTACGTACCTCGATTCAGATCACGCTTTGGTATGCGCGGACATCAGCATGCGCTTCGGCGGATCCTCAAAGCGGAAGCACAATACGTTCGACATCAAGATAGCTGACCTCTCTACTCGATCAACTTATCAAGCTTCCTTATCGTATTCATTCATTGATTCTCCACATCGAGACATCGAAAATAATTGGAGTTTCCTGCGTGAAGCGATGCTAACTTTCAGTCATTCAATCTGCGGGATCATAAGGCGCTCTCTGAGGAGCTGGATTTTCTCACACTCACTGGAATTCTTTGATCGTCCTAGAGATATCCCGGCTGATTTAAATAGCAGTGCAATGCGCCGCATTCTCAGCCAACAACTTAAACAAAGCCTGCGTGCGGATCGCGAAACTTGGTGGGTCCAGCGCGCCTCAGAGATGGAAACAACTCTCTCTGGAAACGACCGCATGCTCATCTAGGTCATTCATGTCACTGGTCACAAAATATCTGGTGTCAGTGAGGTCATTTGCGCAGGTTGACGGAACGCCGATACGCAACTTAGACAGGCGTATGGACCGCTGAGCTGAACACTTCCGCACTCAATTCAGCTGGTCTCCTCCGCCGGCGAGTCTATTGAGTTTACCTACTTGCGCACTTCGAAACGTCTAATTGGAACCACCCACTGAAGCTGAGGTCTGCCTTGAGCTCCGACACTTGAAGCGACTCAAGTCTGCTGCCCCAGACGGACTTCCTCCTGAGTTGTTCAAGTTCAGGGACGAAGCACTTGTCGACCAGTTAACAGCTTTATTCTCTAAGATCTGGTGTGAAGAAACCGTTCCATCCGCTTGTAGCGAGTCAATTATCGTCCTGCTCTTCCAGAAAGATGCCTGAACCCAATGCGCTAACCACAGATGAATCAGTCTAATGTCCGTTGCCACCAAGCTGTTAACATCCATTCTACTCCGCAGACTAACCCCGATTCGAGAATTGCACTCCCGTGAAGAACAAGCTAGTTTCCGCCCCGGTCGAGAGTGTATAGACCACTTGTTTACGCTTCGCCAACTTCTTGAAACGCGTCATCTTTACCGCCAGCTCACTATCCTTGTTTTTCTGGACATCCGAGCCGCTTTCGACTCCGTTGATCAGCCAGCTTTATGGCATTGCTTACAAAAGAATGGGGTACACGAAAAGTATATCGCCATCCTTCGAGCATTCTATTGCAATGTCTCATGTAAAGTGAGGGCTTATGGTAAGCTCTCTTCACCTTTTGATGTCACTAGCGGTGTACGGCAGGGTTGCCCCATGTCCCCGTTTCTCTACAATTTTGCGATCGAGGATGTCCTTTTAAACGCTTTCGAGGGCTTTCAGTGTTTTGATGTAGAACTCCTTCCATGCAACCGCGTGACCGAGTTAGATTATGCCGATGATATTGCCTTGCTTGGTGATGACGCACAGAGCACACGAGTCGTTCTAAACCGCTTGGCGATGGAAGCATCAAAATATGGAATGACTTTTGCCCCTACGAAATGCAAAGTCCTGGTCTTGGACTGGCATCCACCTGCTCCAGTGCTCACTCTTCAAGTTACGTAGCTTGAACAAGTGGACAACTTTGTTTACCTGGGAAGCTGTCTCTGCTGATGGTAGCATTGGAAAAGAGATTTCCCTCCGCATTGCCAAAGCCCGTTCGACATTCGCCAACTTGAGGCATCTGTGGCGACGCCGCGACGTTTCACTATCGGTAAAGGGCAGGGTCTACAATGCCTGTGTTCGCGCAGTGCTGCTGTAAGGGAGTGAGTCCTGGCCGATTTGTGTTAATGACGCGTCGGATTTCGGCCTTTGACAATGGATGTCTGCGGAGAGTAGCTGGAGTGTAGTGGATGTACCACGTACACAACGATGATGTTAGACGTCGCGTCTTGGGTAACACGGGACTTCCACTTGACAGACTGGTACCACTGAGCCAACTGAGGTGGCTAGGCCACATTTTATGCATGCCATGCGAACGGCTGCCCCGAAGCGCTCTCTTCGCTCGTATAAGACTAGGCTGGAAGAAATCGCGCGGGGGTCAGCTTCTCACGTGGCGACAAATGATTAAAGCTCTGACTTCCATTTTGGCTGCCCTAGGTCCCGTGCGTTTTCCGGGCTGGGGGATCAACGATGAAGAACACCGCTGGCTGGAAACTCTTTGCTGAGATGGCACAGAACCGGGCTCAATGGAAAATGTCTCTGTGTCTCTGATGATGGTAGCATTGGAAAAGAGATTTCCCTCCGCATTGCCAAAGCCCGTTCGACATTCGCCAACTTGAGGCATCTGTGGCGACGCCGCGACGTTTCACTATCGGTAAAGGGCAGGGTCTACAATGCCTGTGTTCGCGCAGTGCTGCTGTAAGGGAGTGAGTCCTGGCCGATTTGTGTTAATGACGCGTCGGATTTCGGCCTTTGACAATGGATGTCTGCGAAGAGTAGCTGGAGTGTAGTGGATGTACCACGTACACAACGATGATGTTAGACGTCGCGTCTTGGGTGACACGGGACTTCCACTTGACAGACTGGTACCACTGAGCCAACTGAGGTGGCTAGGCCACATTTTATGCATGCCATGCGAACGGCTGCCCCGAAGCGCTCTCTTCTCTCGTATAGGACTAGGCTGGAAGAAATCGCGCGGGGGTCAGCTTCTCACGTGGCGACAAATGATTAAAGCTCTGACTTCCATTTTGGCTGCCCTAGGTCCCGTGCGTCTTCCGGGCTGGGGGATCAAAGATGAAGAACACCGCTGGCTGGAAACTTTCGGAGATGGCACAGAACCGGGCTCAATGGAAAATGTGTACAAATGTTTGTCTTGATTTGCTTGATTTACATCGCAAACATTAAACAGACAAAAAAGATAAAACGGCGTGTGAAAAAAACAAGAAGAGAAAAGACAAGATACAAAAAAACATTTTTGCAACTTTTGTTCTTATCGTTGTAGTCTCTGTATTTATTACTTCCGTTTCATGGTTTTCGCTGGCTCTATGTCTATCTTATAGACTGCTGATTATATATATATATATATATATATATATATATATATATATATATCGGCATATTTCGTGAAGTATTTTTTCGTCCGACGCCGACTAGAATTAGGATCTTTTATTTTATAGTAAATCTATTCTTTGACTGAGTTGGCGTTATTATTTTACGGTTCTGTACACACAACACCCGCCGGAGGTTGCTATAGTTCCCACCAGCCTCGAACTAGCCATGGACGCAAATCGATCACATTGCGATCAGTCACCGCTAGAGAGGCTGCGTCCAAAACTGTCGCTCGATTCGGAGCACATGTGTGGACGCTGACCATGTACTTGCATGTGCTTATCTGCGGATGCGTTTTGGCGGACCCCCACGACGACGCTACGAGCGCATTGACACCAGTCAACTGGCGAAGCCAAATGTTCTGAATGCATATCGAAGTACGCTGGCATCCGAACCGAGTAAGCTTTCACTGAATGTAGTTGAAGGTCACTGGTCATA